TATTATTATTAGTAGTGGTAGTGGTATTAGTAGTAGTAGTAGTAGTAGTAGTAGTAGTAGTAGTAGTAGTAGTAGTAGTACTTATTGCAGGGTTTTAAAGTCTTTGTTAACAGATGATACTGTCCTTTTTAAAAGACTGTATAGCTAGAACATAGTCTTTTCTGTTTTTGCGGCCTGGAACGCCTCCAAATTACAAATACTCTATTCCTTATTATTTTACACAGCCTGTATCAGAGCTAAAATCATCCGTGAGTCCGCATTTCTCTTCATAAATTTACAAAAGAAGAACGGTCTTAATTTCATACAGTCTTTTTATCAAAGTTGGATAATATCAAGGTAAAGTATTTCATATTTGTTCTTTCACGTTCTCACTGATGACAGTGAACTCCTGGCGAGGCAGCATCGAAGCACTTCAGACTCTGTAACTACTGTCTTACAAAGGAATACAAAACACTTTTCATAAATTGCAGTGGCTACTGGTTTATCACAAAATACGTGACGGTATAACTACTGTCTTGCAACAAAGTACAAAACGCGCAACAAATTGCCGTAACTACTGTCTTACAAAAGAAAAAGCTTTAGTGATGTTGTAACCCAGTAGCCCGGAGGGGGGGTTTACTCCCCTATATTTGCTATACGGGTATATGCCGCCCTATAGGGTATGGTTTTTCGGCTTTTCGGTAGGTCTGGGGTAGGGTATCATTTTTGGACATTTTGTCTGGGATAGGGTATCATTTTTGTCTGGGATAGGGTTAACGATTCGGTCGTTTTTGTCTGGCGAATAGGCTACGCTTTCTGACGGCACAAAAACAATAAAAACGTTAATAAATATTGATTGCAATCTATTGAATAGCCGTCTTTTCCCTCTATTAGTCTGGGATAGGGTGTACAATTCTTAGTTTTAGTCTGGGGTAGGGTATGTAAAATCAAAATTTTAGGTCTGGGATAGGGTCAGGGTTTTGAGGTCCTGGCGGCACACCCCTTCCCAAGTCGGGGGATAGTACACCCCCCGGGCCCAGCAGTTACTGTGATTGTAAATTAATTTTTGTAAGCCAGTAACTACTGGCGTYGTAAAAGCTTTGATGTTGTAACCCAGTAGTAACTGTGATTGTAAATAATTTCATTAAGCATTATTGTTTTATTAAGCATTGCACTCATTCAGATTATGCGTATCGAATYGAACAGATCTAACGAGCCCCTGATATTCTTGTACAGCAGAACCTCTCAGAGACGCGTAGTTACCAGGCCCTTTAGTTCTGTCTTCTTGCCTGGTATCAGGGCTAAGATCTTGGTAGACTCCTTGATCACTACGTTTTCCTGATGAGACAAGTTCTTGATAATGATTTTGAACTGAAACTTCAACATGATTGGCACTCAAGTCCAGCATATCTCTGGATTGCTGTATAGCGGTAGTGTCTTCAGCGTCATGCGCTGTATTGTAATATGAAAATCCATTACTGCCACCAGTCTGTTCAGCGGTATCACTATTAGACATATGCTTAGTGTTGTCATAAGTAGTGGGGTTAGTTGTATGAGTATGTGTGTTGGGTAGTTGATGTTGTTTATGTTGTCGATCTATGACAAACTGGTCTATTTGTTCGTAGTCGTCGTTGGCTGGTGTCGAAAACGACGTTAAAGATTCCAGTGGAATTGCCTCCTGCATGAGAACAAAACAAAAAATAACTTGAATGGCATTGACCTTCTACTGGTTCAAAACCAATTGCATTTGACATGATCGTACCGTGCCGTGCCCAACCATACTTGAGGAAAAGCATTAAGCCCCCATCCCCCTGAATTATTAGTGAACAATTCTTAAATATGCAACAATGAATTTCAAAAAGGCATACGTTATGAGAAACTTGTTCTGGTTGTGAGTCAAGAGAATGAAAAACCCTGGAAAATAAAGAAAAATACAACACTAGTTTACTAAACATTGAGCAGTAGAAAGAAGATCAAATGTTAAATATACAGTGTAGGTAGTAAAAGGTACAATAGTCCCCTTCACAGTTCCCTGCGCCATCTTGAAAGGTAGCCATGCCTTTTAATCAAAGTGAGACGAACGGTGAGCTTGCAAAAATAGAACATGCGTAATAAGTAAATTACGAGCCTTAGATGAAGCTGTCCACAGTTTCTAGTTGAGCTGGCTCATTTTTTACGCGACTTGAAGTTGTGAAAGGCTTGTATGGCACTCTTCTTCAGTCGTTTCATCTAAGGCTCGTAATTTACTTATTACGCATGTTCTTATTTGATATCCGAGCCCATCCCACACGGCGCACTGCCACATCTATCTAGTACTATTTTTTCGTGGGATTGCCAGCTCACTAGATACACTGTGCTGACGAGGCCCAATACAGGCCGAAACAGCTGTCCACAGTTTCTAGTTGAGCTGGCTCATTTTTTACTCGACTTGAAGTTGTGAAAGGCTTGTATGGCACTCTTCTTCAGTCGTTTCATCTAAGGCTCGTAATTTACTTATTACGCATGTTCTTATTTGATATCCGAGCCCATCCCACACGGCGCACTGCCACAACTATCTTGCAAAAATAGAGACCTCTTTTTAGCACCTTGGACAATTATTTACATGTCTCTATCATTGCAAGCTCACCGTTCGTCTCGCTTTGATTAAAAGGCATGGCTACCTTTCAAGATGTCGCAGGGAACTGTGAAAGAGACTATTGTGTATTTCATCAGTTTCGAGATAAACAAGCAACATTCTATTAACATAACGGATTATAAACTCACACCAACCTTTGCCTGACAATGTTTCTGCTTTGTTTGATGACTGAAAACAAAACCAACACAAACTCTAAAATAACCTGTGTATGCATGGTCTTTAACAGAAGTCCATAACTACTCTCGTTATTAAATATGGACTAATGCCTATAGTTATAAGTGCTACTCTTCAGTTCTTCAGGAGCGTTTAAACTCATATATTAGCCACATTTCGAGGTTGAGAGAAATATAAATGGGTAGAGTGGGCAATGCATCATGATCATCTTAAAAATATGTCCCCCAGAACATATGAGTCATGCACACAATCAGTCACTTCAACCCGAGTCGGAATGGTTTATTAATGTGAGAATAACGCAGATTCGTGAATGGCAGAACGCTTTGCAAAGTTTTGAAAAATATATTTTAGTTAACATTCAGTAGATAGGTACATTATACATTAAATGCGATTGGTTTTTTTATTTTATTTGCGGGGGGGGGGGGGTACGAAGGGGGAGGTGAGCAGTGAATGAAGGGGGGCTATAATGCTTTCCCAGTTTTAAATAAAACTTATAAGAGTCGGTATAATATTATCTTACTTATCTTGTGTTGTTTACGTATGATAACTAAAAGGATGATGGTCAACAAAACGAGGACAGCGAAAAAGAGCACAATTACGACCCACACAAAGTTTGGTGTATCTGTCGAGCAAAAGAAGAAAAAACACTTTATCTAGACGGTGAACCAGGAAATCTCAAAGTTCTCGAAGACCACAGGTACGTTTTTATGTTAACTGCTACAGTTAGGTGTCAAATGACGATTTTTATATTTGCGTGACGTCATCGATCCTCCATGTTTTAATTGGATAATTAATTAATCCCAACATGGCGACTTAATAATTAGACTTTTCCACGTACAGCCTCTCGCTCGTCCGTTCCGTCTCCACGCTAAGAGACTGTAACGTTACAATGACCGAAAGGACTTATGGGTCCTAAAAACTTGGACCCAGCGTGCTTTTGGAAACTACTCTTCCACAGTCTCTCTCCTTTCAATATTTTCAAGATGGCGGCGAAAACGAGAGAGACTGTGAACGAGTATTTTGGTTCCCAAAGCACGCCGGGTCCAAGTTTTCGGGACCCATAAGTCCTTTCGGTCATTGTACCGTTACAGTCTCTAAGCGTGGAGGCGGAACGGACGAGCGATAATGTGTAAAACATTGTTTCTAGAGTGTTCTACCTTGATGACAAGACATGGAGTCTTGGCTGGAAGGAATGCCAGTCGCATATAATTCCTGAGAATGTTTTCTCTCTTCCATTTGATTCCTGGCCATATGCATAATGAAAAGCTACAAGAACTGGAAAAGAAAGAAAAGAAGGAAGAGAATTGAAAAGGTTTAATAGGAGTAACATTTCACTATCCCATTCCCGTAATAAATCATTTTGAAATGAATAATAATGAAATCTTCAAGATTCCGTGTTTGATCAGAAATGATTTTAGTGCATGTCAACTAGTGAAAATGTTTTAATTGCTATTTATTTTTATTTATTTTTTAGTTATTTATATTTACTTTGTCCTTATGTCGTTTCATATTTTGTCCAGCGCGGGGTCATCAGACTATCATTATTAATCCAACGTTTATTATAATCACATTCGAGACAAGACAGTGTTTTGAAATTCAATAATCATTAAGTACCGGAAATAATTGACTGTTGTGGATATGCTTAAATGGGAATTAGTCTGCGGGTATTTGATCATAAGACCTAAAAAGAACAAAAAAATATGTTAAAGAATTCTCGTGGTGCATGTTACGTCATAGCCACCATGTTGGTTGACGATGGTTAACCAAGGGCAACCAAGGACACCGAACGTGGTTGGATTTCTATAGTAGTTTTTTTCCTTTCGATAAGGAACTGGTCATAAAGTATGTGGGGGGGGGGGGCAAAATCAGGGGGTGGGTCACATAATTTTAAACTCCTTCAAAGAAGTTGGCTGTTGATAAAATTTGACAACTAAAAAGTTTGCTTCTAAACTGGGGTTGGGTCATCACATTCCACCCCCTCTTTACTTTATGACCAGTCCCCTATTTGAATTAAATTAAACGTATATGCTTGTTTACTTATCTTGTGTCCGTATTCCGTCGCTGTTATAATGCAGATGTTTTCTTCCAAAGGTCAAACGATTTGAATCGCCGAAACATTAAGATTCATAAGATGATAGTTATTTGCAGACTATATGATTTCACGAATGACGGCTAGTCAATCATTCTACAATAATGCATAGATATTTTCGACAAAAAGATAAAGAGATACATTGATTTGTCATATTTTGTAGTTTCGGTGCTCTTAAAAAATCTCATAAAGTCGAACAAAAATACCTACAAAATTTTTTTCATGTATACTGATATAAACTTTTTCTAAAATGTTGATTTAACCTAGATTTTTAGGAGTTTTTTTCGAATGAGCTATTAAAAAAAAAGAGAATCCCGTGCAAAAGTTGAGGGTTTTGCCTTGTAGAAGCTCAAAACGCGTATAGTTCTTCAATAAAATCTTGTAGATTTTTCAGCGGTTTTTGAGCGCGCGCACATCGTTGTTCAAAAGTAGGCAGTCGCCTTAATTCAAATTAACGAAAGAAAAAAAAAGCTATATAGAAATCCAACCACGTTCGGTGTCCTAGTGCCCTTGGCTTGTCTTGTTAGATCAACCAACATAACAGCTGTTTCATCGTTATTTATATATCTCGATAGATTTTAAGTCATGTGTGGTTGCACTCCACTATATTAGATTACTGTGCTTCGTTCTAGAAAAAATGCCTCAGAAATTTAGAAACTTTCCGAGTAAAGTATTTTGGAAAACACTGGCAGACTGGCTGGTGACTAATACTTTGTTTTGACCAAGAACCGAGTGAGTTATACTCTTTGACAAATGGACTAAATTATCATTTTGAGCGTTATAGTTTTAACGAGGTTWATTAACTAAACAATGCTCGCTCGCTTTAGGGCTGGATTTCTTAAGTTGTAAACACCAAATGTTGTTTTTAAGACGTTAATGAAGGAGAAAAAACACAAATATTTTGATTTCAAAATTCCATACAACATCAAATAAATAGAATACTTACCAAGGATCGTTACCAAGCGTAGTGTTCGATTAATTTAGTAATTGTGTTTTTTCTTCGCATAATAGTTTCCTCTTTCCCAATCCCCCCGGTCAGTGAGGATCAACAACATTAAGACGTATTTCCTGTCAAATTATAGCGTTAAAAATGCTCACTAAAATTTGGTATGTCGAGCATAAAAGAAAACCAAAGAAACTAAAATAATACAACGAAATATGTTCTGGTTACGTTGGCTGCATATTATTATACTTTTGTTAATTTTGTCTTTTGTTTTATAATTTGTATTTTATCTTATTTTAGTTTATTTTTCCTGCTTAAAGCAGGGTATACCAGTTTTTAACCTGTTTTATTAAGCATTGCACTCATTTAGATCATTCATATCAAGTTGAACAGATCTAACGAGCCCCTGATATTCTTGTACAGCAGAACCTCTCAGAGACGCGTAGTTACCAGGCCCTTTAGTTCTGTCTTCTTGCCTGGTATCAGGGCTAAGATCTTGGTAGACTCCTTGATCACTACGTTTTCCTGATGAGACAAGTTCTTGATAATGATTTTGAACTGGAACTTTAACATGATTGGTACTCAAGTCCAGCATATCTATGGATTGCTGTACAGCGGTAGTGTCTTCAGCGTCATGCGCTGTAGTGTAATATGACAATCCATTACTACCACCAGTTTGTTCAGCGATATCACTATTAGACACATGCTCAGTGTTGTTGTAAGGGTGATGATCGTTGTCGTAAGTGGTCGCGGTAGTTGTTTGAGTATGCGTGTTGGGTAGTTGATGTTGATCTGTGACAAATTGGTCTATTGGTTCGTAGTCGTCATTGGCTGGTGTCGAAGACGACGTTAAAGATTCCAGTGAAATTCCCTCCTGCATGACAACAAAATAAAAAATAACTTGATTGGCATTGCCCTTCTACTGGTTCAAAAACAACACTAAACACGTTATTGCATTTGACACGATCGTACCGTGGCGTGCCCAACCATACTTGAGGAAAAGCATGTAAGCCCCCATCCCCCTGAATTATTAGTGAAAAATTTCTAAATATGCGCAATAATGAATTTGGAAAAGGCATACGTTATGATAAACTTGTTCTGGTTGTGGATCAGGAGAATGAAAAACCCTGGAAAATAAAGAAAAATACAATACTAGTTTACTAAACATTGAGCAGTGGAAAGAAGATCAAATGTTAAATATATTAATATCAATGTACAGTGCTACAGACCTTGGGTCGGATGGTTTGGCGTTTTTCCTACAATGAAATTCAACTGGCGGGAAAAATTGTTCAATCAGTTAGTCTTTCACACGGTAACACAGAGGAACCGACACTCACAGTCAGTCGGTCGGTCGGTCGGTCAGCTCGTTCACTACTTACTTTCTTTGCGTTGCTTCAATACAATGACAAGCAGGATGATAATAATGATTACAAGGAGTACGATGCAAACCAAATATACATAGGTCGCTGAGTCTGGAAAAAAAAAGAACTCGTATATATACAATTCTGCTTCCTGGTCAATATCGCGAATAGTCAGAAAAACAAATATTCCGGGTTGAAATTAGAATGAAGAAACTAACAGATTACATGGAAAACCATGAGATATTCATCCTACAAAGTAGCACTTTATTTTTAGATGTGACGTATAATCATGTAGACATACATACCTTGCTTATTTTTCTGAGGGGTATGGTAAATTTCTTCACAATTCCTTCCTATGTATCCTTCAACGCATTTACAGAAGTATCCAGGAAACAATTGTTGATTCCAAGTATGACTATCTATGCAGGTACCATTATATTTGCACGGATTACTCGCACACTCGTGGATATCCTCATCACAAGTTATGCCTTCCCACCCAGCAAAACAAGAGCAATAAAATCCAGTAGAGTTTCCATTGCAATCTCCATGGTGACAGGGCTTTCCTACCCTGCACCACTCGGTAGCATTATACGCGCAATTTTTTCCATAATAACGTTCCTTACATTTGCATTCATACGATCCTACAGTGTTAGTACAGTTATTTGTACCTGGTTCATAACATACTTTTAGGTGGCATTCATTAATATCGTGTTGACAGAATCTGCCATTAAATCCTTCAGTACAGTGACATGTGTACTTATTCAAAGCGTCAACACATGTTGCATCGTTTGTACAGTTATTTCCAACACAGTCATCAATGTTGATCTCACAATTTCTGCCAGTATAGCCAGTAACACAAGAACAACTGTAGTTGAGATGAAAATCTTTACAGTTGCCTCCATTCAGACAAGGTGATGGTGAACATTCGTCTGTTTCTTCCTTGCACTGTCTTCCTTGATATCCTGCTGGGCACTGACATACAAACCTGTCTTTACCAAAATCACTGATTTGGAAACTGCTTTCCAAATGTGCTGTCATGTTGTTGGAACATCTGGCATTGTTAAAACATGGTTGGTGGGCACACGTCATGTTAGCTGTATTATTACACTTTGTTCCTGCATATCCATTTGGGCATGCGCACTTAAAAGCATACCAATCATCTGAGCAATTGCCACGAATACAGGGTTGAAACCTACATGCATCATCACTATGACAACCAAGAGAAATACCAGTCATTTTCACATCAAAACTAGGCTTCAATGGTGTCACGTGACTGACATTGTAATTGGAGTTGTAATACTGTTTGAATGGCAGCAAAGCCCCACCTACTCGGAGGTTGTCAAGACAACCTTTGAAAGGTATTTGTGTGTCAGATCCAATATAAAGAGATGTCACATTAAGAAGGTTTTGAAGAGCCTGTTCAGTTAATGGTGGTTCTGAAAAGCTTTCCACTGTTCCATCGATCTCCAGCTTAGCTGAATTTGATAGATTGACCATTACTTTGTGCCATTTACTATCGTTTATAGCCTTCGCTGTAAAGAGTAAATATACAGAATAATGACAGTCAAATCAAAAAGATCTGATCAGGTTGTGTTGATAGGTCACATAAATCTCATGATGGAAAGAGTTTCTGTGCAAAACGGTTCCCCCCAACGCAGGCTACCCAAGAGAGGTTTTGAGATTTAAAATTTCTTCAACACATATTAATGTATTTACCTGATAAAATATTTCCTGCTGCTCGCCCGAGATCATATGTTACATTTAGAGTGCCATTGTCTATTCTGACTATCAGTTTCTGGTTGTTTTTCGATGCAGTGAATATCGTTCCATGATTCTGGCGGGTTCTCAGGCTAAACAAGAAATGTGGCTTAAGAGTCATGTGGGAATTAGAAACCAATGTAAACTTGGCTTTGCTGAGGCTTGCATTAAATGTAGCAGGACTGACACCTGTGAAAAGAGAAAATTGGGCTTTATGAACAGAGATTCTGGAACTGGGTACTAAAGACGTTAAAGTTAGGAATCCGTCCTTGCTCATTAAATGTAGAATGTGTTATTGAGTTTTACTTGTGTTATGTAAGTCGGTTAACAGGTAATTCCAGCACTGAAAATATGTATATTAGTATTAATTTATTAACGAGTACATACAAGTTCCCTCACCCAACCACATCATTTTTGACTATCATACTTACACTCAAACTGCCCATTATCAACATCCATACATTTGCTTCCTCCATCACATGGTTGTACCAGTGAGCAGCCATAAAGCGAACAGTTTCTTCCACCATAAAATCGATTACAGTAACACTTAAAATCATTCCAAGTATCTTCACATCTTCCTTTGCCTCCACAAGGAAAAGAAGCACACATATCCTCTCCTGGACAGCCCTTACCCAATCCTTGATTCTCAACAAGTTGATAACTGTCTAGAGATGTAGGGTCTTTGAAAAACAAGAAGAGCTTGTTGTTAAGACGCATGTCTTGAATGCAACCACGTAAACCTTTCCTTGTCATGACAACATCTTCTGAGAACTCTAACCAATTTTTAAGCCCACCAAGGTATGTACTTGACAAATCAATAGACGAAGGTAAAGTCATACCAGAACCAGTTACATTATCAACCTTAGACTCATTAACATTTATGGCAACAAAGTGATATTGTCCATCGTTGACTTTTGGGTTGAGAGTTAACAAGTTCTTGGAGCCCTCTTTAGTAGACTGTAGCGAGATAGAGCCGTTAGAAAGGATCACCGTAATGTGGCCTGAAGCCCCAGTAAAAAAAGCTATCAAACCACTACTCTCTCTTGTTCTTATGAAGAAAGACAGCTCACTTAACATGCCGAATGTTGTAGGAGTCGCAAACTTTGCATAGCTTGTGTTAAGATTCGACTGTAAAAGTGACCTCCTTCTTCTTAGAGCAGCATTGTTAAGTGTTGTCTGTGCACCAAATGTTCCTGCGATGAAGGCTGTAGATAAATAATATAAATTTAGCTTTAATCATCTTGAGCACCTAATCTCATGTAAGAAAAAAAWATTTTTTGAATAGATAAACTTACTTTTATTACAATGGTCTCCAGTCCATGGCCTGTTACATTCACATTTGTAATCAAGCCATTCATCGATGCATCTTCCGTTAACACATGGATTAGGCTGGCATACTGGTACACGTGGACACCCACTGGTGACATTAACAAGTTTTACATCACTCTGTGTTGGGATTACTGTCAGTCCATTAACYTTAACTGCACGAATACAGCCAATCAACAGCTTCATATTTCCGATATTTGTTGCTCCACCAATGAACAGCTTTGACAAGACATCATTGGATGAACGGCTCATCGTCTTTGTACAATCACTGCAAGAAGAGTTGTCTATGTTGATTTGAGTAGATGTGCTGGTCAGGTTAACGACGACTTGATGCCATTGCCCATCAGTTAGGTTTGCATTAGAGCCAACAGTACGCCTTTCAATGTCATAACTCACTAATAATCCTTCTCCTTTTAACTGTATCAAGAGTTTACCTCCAGAGTCAATTGCCAAGACTCCATATATCAAAGTAGTCCTGAACTGTAATGATATAGTTAGGATACTTTTACCAACATTGAATGCCATGTAAGAAGAGCCATTCATGTTGATAGTCGTACTGTTTTCACAATTCTTCCCACCAAATCCTGGTATACAGCTACATTTGTAATTGTCAAGGCCTTGATCCAAACACGTGCCGTTATTAATGCAAGGGTTGTTGGGCCGACAGCGAAAGCCTGTATACTCACAAAGACGACCAGTATAATTAGCTGGACAAGAGCAGTTGAACTCATTGATTAAATCACTACATGTAGCGTTGTTTTGACAAGGATTAGAGGCACATTCATCTATGTCTATGGAACAGTTATACCCTGCAGAGTGAAATATAAAGACATGTAAACTATGTATTTTAAAGATTTCTGAACCACACCTCTGACAGATAACTCACCTTTGTAGCCAGGAACACACGTACAGTTGAAGTAATTAACATGGTCGTTACAAGTGGCTCCATTGTAGCAAGGGTTGCTGGCACATTCATTGATGTCTGTAGAACAGTTGTGGTCTGTATATCCTGGTACACATGTACAGTTGTAAGTACCATACCCATTATTACACGTAGCACCATTCTTACAATATCCTAATGCACACTCATCTATATCTTGATCACAGTGTTTTCCTTCCCATCCTGAGGTACATGCACATGTGTACTTATTCATCCCATCAACACAAATTCCACCATTCTTGCAGGGGTTTCCTTTATGACCACATTCATTAATGTTATGGTAACAATTGTCACCTGAAATGAACAAGTCAATGTACAGGGGTAAAATCGATTACCTATGTTGCAAAGATACCAGAATACAATACAGGACCGCAGCCACCAGTTCGATTGGTCTGGCTTTAACTAGACCAACTCGTAAAAATATCCATATACAAACGTAAATGAAAAAACCGACCACAGTCAAAAGCCAAGCAATAATGTTGTTAGACAAAGACATCTTAAAGATCCACCTCTCTGACAAAATCATCTGAGTAACTAAAGCCACTTTTTACCTGTCCATCCTTGATCACAGTAGCACTTGTATCCAGTGTATTGYTTATTAACACACAACCCTGTGTTACAAATAGTCTTATTCTCACACTCATCAATGTCCAATTCACAGCGTGTACCTTTAGTAAACTCATTACAAGCACAATGATATGAGCCAATGGTGTTCTGGCATGTTCCTCCATTCATACAAGATGCATCTAAGGACAAAATTAACATGTAAGAAGAAAAGAATTTTAAAAACATTGTTGAAGTCGAACTTTTAATTGGAAGATATATYTTTCTGTTGGGAGAGACAACTGGGCATGAATATCAAAATCCATTCAACATACTTACTATCGAGACACTCATCTATGTCTCTATCACAGAGTTCTCCTTGAAATCCTTTGTTGCATATRCAGGTATAATTGTTAACACCATCTACACACGTCCCATTATTACATCCATGTGATGGACAGTCATCTATGTTGATCTCACATTGTGTACCATTAAAACCACTTGGACATTGACACTTGTAATGGCCAGTGTCATTAGAGCATATTGCATTATTCTTACAAGGGTTGGATGCACATTCATCAATCTGACAGAAATCACCATGGTAACCATCTGGGCATTGACAGGTGTAGTTATTGATTCCATCGATACAGGTTGCATTTTGCACACACGTGTTTGATTGACAGTCATCGACGTTAATGGAACAGTTATGACCTTAGAATAGAAAAAGCTTAATTTAGCAACAATAACAAGCAACAGTATTAACAACAGCAGTAAGAGCAACAACAAAAGCTAATTACGACTTAAATACGTAGCTTTTTTCCAAGTCACTATGAATTGACCATTCAGAACTGATAATAGCTGTTATTACAGTTGAGCGCGCAATGAGAAATCCTTTGTTTTAAGAATCATACAAGTGAGGCTATCGGGTCGATACAATCGTTGTTGTCTCATTTGCATCTCATTTGCATGCATCCATAATAACTACTATTTTTTAATCTTCCAAGTACTAATTAAGTCAATTTTCTACCATCTAATTGTCCAATTCTTTTAAAACAGCAACTCACCTGTGTAGCCTGGAACACATGTACAGATAAAGTAATTAATATGGTCGTTGCAAGTGGCTCCATTGTAGCAAGGGTTGCTGGCACATTCATTGATGTCTGTAGAACAGTTGTGGTCTGTATATCCTGGTACACATGTACAGTCGTAACTACCTTTCCCATTATTACATGTAGCACCATTCTTACAGTATCCTAATGCACATTCATCTATATCTTGATCACAGTGTTTTCCTTCCCATCCTGAGGTACATACACATGTGTACTTATTTATCCCATCAACACATGCTCCACCATTCTTGCAGGGATCTCTGTTAGAAGCACATTCGTCAATGTTCTCGTAACAATTGTCACCTGAAATGAACAAGTCAATTTACAGCGGGGAAGTCAATTACCTCTGTTGCAAAGATACCGGCCAGAACACAATACAGGACCGCAGCCACCAGTTCGATTGGTCCGCCTTTAACTGGACTAACTCGTAAGAATATTTATTACAAATGTAAAATAAAAAACGGAATACTTAAAAAAACGTATCACTGTCCAAATGTTGGCTACGGCCCTGCAAGATAAAGTTGATATTGATCTATCTCTTACAAAATCATCTGATTATCCAATGTCACTTCTTACCCGTCCATCCATGATCACAGTAGCACCTGTATCCAGTGTAGATGTAGTTGCTACACAACCCTGTGTTACAAATAGTCTTATTCTCACACTCATCAATGTCCATTTCACAGCGTGTACCATTAGTAAACTCATTACAAGCACAATGATATGAGCCAATGGTGTTCTGGCATGTTCCTCCATTCATACAAAATGCATCTAAGGACAAAATTAACATGTAAGAAGGAAAGAATTTTAATTTGTAAATTGAAAAACATTGTAATGAAGTCGAACTTTTAATTGAAAGATATTTTTCTGTTGGGGGAAACGACTGAATATTAAAATGCAATCATCATACTTTTAAGACACTCATCTATGTCTCTATCACAGAATTCTCCTTGAAATCCTTTGTTGCAYATGCAGGTATAATTGTTAACACCATCTACACACGTCCCATTATTACATCCATGTGATGGACAGTCATCTATGTTGATCTCACATTGTGTACCATTAAAACCACTCAGACAATGACACTTGTAATAACCAATCTCATTAGAACATGTTGCATTATTCTTACAAGGGTTGGATGCACATTCATCAATTTCGATCTGGCAGAAATCACCATGGTAACCATCTGGGCATTGACAGGTGTAGTTATTGATTCCATCAATACAGGTTGCATTTTGCACACACGTGCTTAATTGACAGTCATCAATGTTTATGGAGCAGTTATGTCCCGTAAAGCCTTGTTGACATGTACAACTGAAGTCATAATTATTGACCAGAGATAATCTACATGTTCCGTTGTTCTCACATGGATTGGGATTACAAACATCCAACTCACATCTACAATAAAAACACAAGCAATAGATTAATACAAATTCATGGGTTTGTTTTAATTATGAACATTCCAGCAACTGAATATCACAATTTGTGAAAAAAATATCACATGCATATATTATGTGAATTTTAATCCGGTGGTCAGCACGAATTGCTCTTATATATTCTAGATGTCGTTACCTTTTTCCATGGAATCCTCTTGTACAACTGCAGTAAAAATCACCCACTACATCCACACAAGTGCCATTGTTCAAACATGGTTGAGATGTACAGTCATTAGTGGTACCCAGTTCACAATATGTACCATTAAACCTTGGTAAACAGGAGCAGGTGTAGCCATTAACACCTTCATTACAGGTGCCATTATTCTTGCATGGATTACTCAAGCACTCCACAATATCTACTGAGCAGTTGCTTCCAGTGAAACCTGATGAAAGATGATCAGTGATGCAAGATAAGGTTTGCTAAGACAAATCATCTTTCAAGTATAGTTTTCAACTTACCTGGTTTACAGACACACAAGTAATGGTTGATTTGATCAACACAGTTTTGGTTAGGATTACAGTTGTTGTTAGTAACACAGTCGTCAATGTTGTTTTCACATCTTGTATCATTAAAACCAGCAGGGCAAGCACAATTAAAGCCATCAATCTTATCTGTACAAGTACCTGAAGAACGATAGCAAAGACTACGCATGTAAGCTAGCACTTGACCTCGTTTTAAAATAATCAACTAAAGATGACACAGAGGAGCTATTACAGTAATACAAAAGCGAGTTACCTCCGTTAACACAAGAATTTGGACTGCACTCATCAATGTTGTTTTCACAGTGTTTGCCATCAAAGCCTCTGACACATCTACAGGCATAAGTACCAATATAGTCATGACATGTTGCATTATTCAGACACGGTGAGGAGGTACATTCATTGATGTTGTCAGAACATGTCGGGCCTGTGTAGCCAGACCCCGTGCAGTTACAGGTGAAGCTATTGACACCATCAACACACTTTCCATTAGCACACGGAAGAGAGACACAATCATTGATGTTAGTTTCACATTGGATGCCTGTAAATCCTAAAAGAAAAGAAAATAATAGGTGGACAAAATTATTCCGTGAAAAACTAGCAATTGGAAGGTATGTCTGAATTGCTCCCTCAACGTATGGCTAATGTTTCTCTTTAATATTTAATTTTTCCCTATAAATGTAACTGCATTTTTTGTTCTGGTTGCTCCCCAATTCCTGGGTCCCTTGTATGGACAACGCCCTACATGCTATACGAATGTGAATCTCGCATTCGTATAGTCTACACCATATGCCTATTCTATAAGAATACGTCACGCATTTACCTCTGTGGCAAGTGCATTTGAAACCATTACTAGTGTTGGTGTCCCTGTAGCATGTACCATCATTAAAACAAGGTGTCAAATCACAAGGATTAAATGACGAATCACAGTTCCTTCCTGTCCATCCTGCAGGGCATGTACATGTGTAGTTGTTTCTGTCAAATGATTCCTTACACACTCCTCCATTCTTACATGGTTTGGCATCACATAGTGAACTAAGAAATCTGTCACAGTTCTTCCCACTCCACTGTGATCCACAGATGCATTTATAAGAATTGATGCCATCAACACAAGTACTGAATGAATGACAAGGATTTCCACTACATTCATTGATGTTCACTTCACAGTAATATCCAGTGAAACCAGAATCGCATTCTGCAGAATTCAATTGAAAAACCTTCAGATTTTATCGAAGACTGAAACAACCACTGGGCAGTTCTAAGTCGGAGCATGGCTAACTCACAACTCTGAGCTGATCTAAGTCACGGCATAGCCAACTCATAGATTGAACCATGAAACAACCTCTGGGCTGATCAGATTTCGTGGAGCATGGCTAACTAGCAGATCGAACCCTGAAACAGCCTCGGGGTTGATCTGATTCAGAGCACGACTAAATGAAACTGACAGATGGAATTGCCAGGAACTCAACATACGACTGATGATATAATTATATGATAAACCTTATTGTTTGGTACTCACTTTTCCTAGTGCACCCTGCTTTAGAATCCAGTGGACATCTTGCTTGCACATTTGTTGCTCCTTGTGACATAGCAAGAGGAATATTCCTTCCACTCTCAATACAACCAACAAATCCCTTAATTGAACTAGTATTACCGAGGTTACCACCAGCATACATGGGTCCACTTCCCGTAAAGTTTAATATATCTTTTGGCACTACTGCAGAGTAACTGTTTGGTCCAACTATCTTTATAGTTGCATTCACTGATGAGCTGCCTGGATCAAAAGTTACTGTATTTAGGTAGTTTTTATCAAGTTCATTGCCAGCATGAATTGAGCTTTCAACTCCAAGAACCTTCCATCGTAATGTCAAGCGACTTGGAGTAAAATAGGGTGGGCTGACAGATATGTTATAGTTTACAGTGCCTGGACTAACTCGTAATAAAACATAATCATCTCCATGTCCCCCTTGATACAATAAAACACCGCCTTGACATGTTCTGAAGGTAAGGTCAAATCCTTGTTTAAGAGGAATGGTTGCAGTTGTCACTTGCATGAATGATGTTTCATTGAAGAAGAACGTGTCCCCTGCATTTGCTCCACAGACAAACAAAGCTGTAACAAAATGGTCTTAAATCAGCACTTTCTTTTCATCTCTCAGAATCGATAAAATAATGCATTCTCCCGAGGCTCCAAAAAAACTTCTGCAAACCAAGGTTTTCAAAGGATGTGCTTAAATCGAATTTGTTATCTTTCCGAACTAAATGAATTCCCGAAAGATGTTGGCCTACTGAAGACGATACTATGCAGATGAGGATATYAATGAAAATGTTGACTTACGTCCATGGGTTTACAGTTAGTGTATATAAGGACGAAATTTCGTACAACGCTTAACTTTAAATTTCTGGAACACGTTGGTCAGATTTCGTACACTAAACTTGAATTAAAAAGCAAGTCAAAGAATTTGTAATTAATGCCTGCTTATATGATTGGCTAAGAAATCCAATACTCAATTTCAAAATCTAATGCGCGCTTTCCAAAGTTCGTTAGAATAGTCCGCCAAATATACGCAGAATGCACAAACTAGTCAAAGCACTACTTTTAAGATTTACTTTCGCTAGAATGAAGATTGAAGATTGTCAGTATATACGGAAATATTAGTACACCGTGCCTGCAAAACAGTAAACTAAAGCCGGCGATGTTGTCATAATCAGAACATGAGACAAAACCGTTTTATCCCTGAAGTATAATTGGTAATGGAGAGCACGAGAACAAGAAGATAATAAACGACGGACAGAACTAGAGAGGAGGCGCCAAGATGATACATAACATGAAGAATATGTTACGATGAAAAGTACACTACAAACAAGAAGATTCAAACAAGAACTGAACACTTAATAATACGATTATATCGGTTTTCCGTGACAAGACAAACGGCTTATTCTAACGATGACAAGGCCAAGATAACTGACCTTGAGGGACTAAATGCAGCCAAATGTGTACCGCATCAATGAAGTCTACTATAAATCTTCATATTCACAATAGTATAGAAACGAATCGTACAATAAGAAACGCCAGGATCATGAATGGAGTATACACCACGTTTATTTATTTGTGCCGATTTGGTTCRTATCTGATTGAGACTTTTTTAACTTATTGTACTGTTACCTTCTTCAATTGCTGCAATGAATTCATGAAGCCATCCCGAAATGAATGATTCGCTATCAAAAGAATCCTTAATTGTGAATTGAACAATCACTAGGAACAATCACTCCTGATAAATTTTTGAAGATGGCGCATTGTAATAGGAATCATGAAATCCAGTTAGTATATAGTAAGTAGATGTGACAAATATATATTAAGTAGCTATTAAGGCAATTCAGGTGTTTCACATTAACTATATATTAAGTATAGTAGTTTAAATACATATTAAGTCAAATATTCAAGTACAAATTAAATATACATTAGTTAGCTGGCAAGACAGAATTAAGTACTCGATAAATAGGGATTAAGTAGTCACCTTAAGCATCCATTATACACCTAGGCCGCGGTCACACTGGGGCCACTGAATAGGCTTGAGATGGGTTTCTTTTGATTATGATCTTAACAATCTTAAGACGGTATTAAGAACAAAGTGGTCACATTAGATAAATGGCTTGTCTTATTATAGGTTAAATAAACATAAACCTTTGCGAATCACCTAAGGTTATTTCAGTTCATGCTCCCG